TTTAGGTAGGATTTAAACCATTGTCCTGCTATACCTCGAATCCCATAAAATTTCAGTTTCATTAGTAATATTTCATGGTTTACACAATCAAATGCCTTGGCTAGGTCACAAGATATTCCACCCACATGCATTTTATTGTTAAGGGCACATACAATTTCATTTGTGAAACTAAATAGAGCCTTTTCTGTTGAGAGATTTTTTCTAAATCCAAATTGTTCCTCGACAAGGATGTTGTTTGAGTTTAAGAAATTATTTACTCTCTTGCACATAACTTTCTCAAAAATTTTAGAAAATGTTGTCAGCAGTGAAATAGGTCTGTAGTTAGAGATGCAGGATTTTTCACCCTTTTTATATAGTGGTTTTACTTTTGAATATTTAAGTCTTTCAGGAAACTGACTTTGCCTTCATCTTCAGGCAAGCATGTAGCTACTCTCTGAGGCCCATTAGTCTGTCCAGGCAAGTGCCATTATAATACCTTAAATTAGGCCATGACTACTTCCTTCCTCATCTTTCCAAGTCATTATTCACTGTCATCCTCTTATTTTAAATTATAAGCAGTCAGTTACTACAGTAATTTTGTGTTCTGACTTCAGTTATATATATATGCATTGTGGTTAGACAACATTTTTTCAACAGAATAGGTAATAGCACCTGAATATGGCTGTATATTAGTTCAGAACATTTTGTTAAGTTCTGGGTTCGTGCAACTAATGAAGTTAGAGCTTCATGTTATGTTGACAGAATATACTCATTGTTGGTATTACAAATACCACAAATTCTGTGAACTACATAAAGTTACAAGCACCTTGTTTCAAACTCAGGACATTAAGAAAATTGGTTCAAGATGTCCATTTGCTTTGTAATTTTATTAATGGGTGTAACTCCTATGGAGTGGTGTGGGAATTAGGTTGTTGTAAGTGAAAGATAGAGTGAATATAAATTATGGTAACTGAGTAAGCCAGACTACAGTCTTAAGCAAGGATTTAGTGTGAAGTTGAAGAATGCATAAAATGTTACTGGTATGGTCTACCAGCAAGAGGTTTATTTTATAATTTAAGTTAATGTTGATATACTGTCATGAATTAGGTCTGTGTACATTTTCATAATCACCCTTCTGTGAAGTATAAATGTGATAAAATTAAGGGTGTGAGCAAACAAAGCAAACAGTTTTCACTTGCTTTTTCAGACAGAGACAGTGGGAACCAGCTACAGGTTCACTTGTCAGCATGGCCCATTGGAATGCCGGGCAAACAAGATACATGCATGTGCCATTGCCAAGGTGACACAGCCTGATATACAGCTCAAGTATATAACCTGCATGATCAGTGATAACATGAACCCAGAGAAGATTGGAGAAGAGGTTAGACCATGCCAGTGATAGGTGCTTCAGATTTCTTACTTGTAACTGTTAAAAATGAGCCTTTTATAAAGTCCTTCAAGGAGTATTTATGAATTATAGGAAAGATTGGTGTGTTACATTTTTTGGGTAGTATTTTGAAATTGTCAGTAATGGAAAAGAATATTACCTCTTGTCAGCAGTATATCACATCCTTTACTTAATACAATGTTTTAGCAGATCTTATGTTTACAGCATTGTGAAAAGCAGCCACAGGCTTCATTTACAGAAGCAGCTTTCTTTTCCCTGTGATTACAGTGTGCCCAGGATCATGATGTGAGGTGGAAAGAAGTGGTAGGGTGTGCAGTGGGTAGTGAAGGAGAAGAACTTTTGAAACAACATGGTGAGGCAACAAATGCACTAAATCCAAGAGTGAGCTTTGTCCCAACTGTTTTGCTGGACCAGGTATAGCATTTACATTATCAGTGGCAAGCAGTGTACACTGAAACATTTCCTAGGATGTACAGTTGACATCTTAGACTGTGAATGTAAAAAAGACTTCCTTCTTCAACAAGACATGTAATAGAAAAATTTGAAATTTTAGACATACAAGATTAATAATGAGGGTTCCATCCTATGGTTACATTTCATATTTTATATATTATTATATTTAGTCTTACAATTGATGTGGCATAACTTATTTGCCAAACTGATCAAAACAAGAGTTATGCTTGATGTGGTGGTACTGATGTGGAAAACAAAATATATACAGTGTTCTGATTGAGAAATGTCTAGGAAATTTCCTACTTGTTAGACTGAGGAGTAGGTGGTAGCATAATATTAATTTGAATCCTCAAGAAATTTAGGCTGTGATGTGAATAGGATGAAGGTGGTTGAGTAGAGTTTTTTTGTGGGTACTGAATATTACAGTATGATCATTCTGCCAGCAACAGGGTGGAAGGAGTTGTAGTGTGATATATCTGCAGAATATATCCTCAGAAAATATTCTGCTATACACCCATTTGCAGGCAGTGATTACTCTGAAGCTTAATGTTCAGTCTAAACAGTTTCAAAACAAGCAATGATTACAAAATATATTTCAAAATAATGTCAGTTATGTAAAAAAAGTAAAGAAATTTCTGAAGATGTGTTACTGCACCAAACAAAATATTTTGGATTATCAGTGTTTTTTCTTCATTAGGCCAGATAATAGGGAGTTTACTATAGTAGTAATAAAACCAAAAAAATTAATTCTTTTGAAAAAGTATGTACGTTCTTAATACTTGCATCTGGTAGAAAAATTTAACTGAATTGTGTGTGTTATAGAGCCAGGACAATCAGCCTGGAATACTGAAGAATTTGTTTAAAGAGGTGTGCACACACTTACAGGAGCAGGTAGGTGGCTTTCCTTTCCCTCTTCAGAAGCACTGCTTCTGAAAGCATGTTTGTGCAGACCCCATGTGCTTGTAAAGTCAAGGTATTATCTACCATTTATAATATTTGAGGTTTCTATAGCTGTGAAAGTTTGGATTGTGGTCTTCTAGGTTACAATACAATGGGTAAGTCGATCCTGAAGTTGAAAGTTACATATTCCTTAAAAACTCTGGTAACCACCTACAAGACTGCAGAGCATAGTAACCCATAATACCATAAAGATTTTTAGCAGTACCTTGGATTTGTCTCACCTTCCTGTGATCTTTATTCATGATGGTGCATCAAGCAAAACGATAAACTGAAATTGTTAACCATGTAATTGTATATTACTTTCAGTTTAAATTATTTATGCATTTTCATTCTTATTATTTCTTTTTTAAGTAAGCAGTGTTGGTGCATCTGTATTTAACTTATGATTATTACACGCAAAGTTTAATTTACTGGATCAACATGTAGAGGTAAGAAGAGAATATGCAGTATGTATTCTTAATTTCTTCAGCAACTGTCAAGATAGTGAACTTCCATTATGAGAAGGGTTTATTGAATACTTCCATACATATTTAGAGTGAATGTCTTGATTTAATGCGTGGCCTGTAGTTTTAATACAGAGCTGCAGGCTTGAGCTGTCTCAAGAGAATAGCAGGACAATGTGAATGAAGAGGAATGGGATTCTAGCAAAGAAAGAAGATGGAATTTTCCAACCTCAGTGCAGTGTAAGCAGAAATATATGTTCCAGATGTATATAAATTTGTACACACAGAAGTCTCAAGCATACTGTGAGCTTTCACCAAACATTATGTAAATATTAATATTTAGAGCACTGTGTCAAAGCTTGATGTTACAAAGGAACCATTCATTGTGTATGTGTATGCACAGTGTGATATTAACAGCGGCACTGCATTAACTAACGTTTTGCTGCACCAAAATATGCTTCTGTGTTTTTGTTATGGTGCTAGTATCAACTCTAATATACTCAATTGTGCCTCCATCACTTCATCCCATGAAAAATGCACGAACTTTACTGCAAATGGAATGGAAGACTATTTGATCAGATGATTTTAAGCTTGATTGTTAACAGAAGACTCTTCTCTGGTTTTTTGTAGTGTTTAGTTGAACGTATGAATTACCGTCTTACTGTTAATTCATTGAATGTATTTTCTAATACCGGGTCTACAATTTATGCTGTAACGGCCTTGCTTGCATTGCGTGCTCGGCTGAGTGCACTGTTGGTGTGGGATAGAGATAGCGTGTTATTCCCGTGAGTCACAGGCGAATCAGTTTCATTGTGTCTCTCGTCGCGGATTGACGTTGATAATATGGTGTACAGTATTAAGCAACGTGTGTTCTTAGTCGAAACATATGCCAAATATTCATCCTACGGAAGATGCCGCCGTAAATATCGCAGACATTTTCCCGGTGAAAGTGTTCCTAGCAGGCCCACGATAGAGAGATTAATAAAAAAAATTTGTAGTACGGGATCAGTTTTGGATAAAAAGAAGAACAGGAAACCACAATTCATTTCGGCAATTTCCCAAGAAGAGCTTCGTCAAGTATTTCGAAACATGTTAACGAGATGTGAAGCTTGCCTGCAAGCACAAGGAAGTCACTTTGAACATCTTTTGTGATTTAAGGTAAGAAAATTAATGTAATAACATGTGTTAGTGACGAGAAATATTCGTAGTTCGCTGTTACTAGCGGCACTGAAACTGATTCGCCTGTGACTCACGGGAAGAACACGCTATCTCTATCCCACACCAACAGTGCACTCGGCCGAGCACGCAATGCAAGTAAGGCCGTTACAGCATAAATTGTAGACCCGGTAGTATTTTTGTGTAATTTGTGTCATTGCTGTACTATGCTATCATAATTCAAATTGGTCACAGGGTGTGAAGTAAAGAAACAAGAAAGTTTGAAAACATCAAAAAATGAGAAGCCGATAGAAATTGGAGAAATTAGAATATTTATGTTAAACACTTGAAGAGAAAGGATAGAAAGGCTAATGAAAATTAGCAGAGAACAAGTAGGCTTAAAATTCTACATAAATACTGTACCATATCAGCACAATCTTCATGTCTCTTTTGCAATTCTACCACAAGAGGAAATGCTAATGCTGTCTTGCAGCACCAAACTGTAATTAGCAGAAATGTGTGTGCAAGAGGTACATTCAGATTATGGTCTTCAATTAATCTTGTTTTTAAGTTGCCTGGATGCAAACAGAATAACCTGCAGCTATGTAGTTTTATCAATAAATAACTCCATGTATCCTAATAATAAGCAGGAGTTGTGTGCACTATGAAAGGTCAAAGGCTAACCCATGCCTCTGACTTGTTAGCCTTTTTCACGGTGTCTCAATCATTTAAAAATTTCTGTAGGCCACTAAATTAGGCTGCAAGGTACCAGAAAGCTTACAAGACAGTTTTGGTGATGTGTGGTTGCAGATGACTGCTATTGTTATCATTTTAAAGCCTTTAATAATCATTTACATATCAGAGGAAATAGAAGCATAACATACATTGCTGTGTATGAAGAGGAACTGGTAACTGACAAATAACCAACATGTTGGTTGCATGCACAGCACAATATTACAATGGTAGTAAAGCACCTCCTTTTAGACCATTCTGAATAGGGAATGCGTAAGACAAATGTTTACCATAACATAGGTTTTCCTCATAATTAGTTTTATGAGTTCACTGAATTGAGCGAGAATATTAAACAAGTAATACGTACTGCTGATTGAATCATAGGCTTCCTTGAAGTCTATGAGTAGCTGATGTACTGAGTCTTGTCTAATGCAAAATGGTAGTAATGTTCCACTCCTAAAGTCTTTCATAGGGCCATATGATGCTCATCTAAGGATATTTGAAATGAAGCAGGAAATATAAATGGGTAGAGTTCCTTTTAGCATTGGAATCAGAACCACAGTAACCAGGGGTGGAATTACAAAACTGTGTGTTGGTCTTATGTTCACAGAGACTGCAGCTGGTGCCAGAGTGTGGGTGATGCCTACAGAGTGACATGACAAACGCATGCATATTCATATCCCTCCAGGTTCATATGGCTCTCCATTTCCTCTGTATTCACTGCAAGAACAAAGTCTGTACTATCAGTAACATACATTTTTAGTTAATGAAGATGCTTATCAATCAGTCAGTCATATATTAGTTGTGTTCTGCACTGAAGACTGTGCCCACATAACAGTGGGAAATGTGCTTATGTCTCTGTGAGTGGTGAAGTTTTATGTCCTGCAAAGAAATACATATAATAGAACTGTGTATTACTTGTGTAATTACAGTTTAAACTATATTTTACTTGAAAAATATGCAATTTTTAAAATACATTATGTGCGTAATATGTTGTTTGTAATATAATTTTGCATCATTCCCGCCAGAATCCCTTCCTATGATCCCTTCACTACATACAATTTATTTTCTTTGAAATTCAGATTAACTGGACTGGGACTTCACAGGATTAAGCTTCTGTCTGTAATGTAATCCTTTGCTCTAGTAATTATTTGTAGATGCTATTAGAATTTGCATGGGTTAATTAGGAGAAAAAGTGTTTTGACAAATTATGCAGAGGCCAGTTCTCATTACCATACAAACATAAGTTATTAACATATATGCGTGACTTTTTATTACTTTCACTTGTAGCCATAACATCAGATTTTCTCTTACCACTCAGAACTTTTCCAGTTTATCCCAAAATTTAAAATATATTTTGTTAAAATTAAAAGAATATAATACCAATTAGTTCATATCAACTAAACAGCATTCTAGCTCAATTTCCATAAGATGTATTTGCCAACACTAATCCCAAAATAAGATAAATGTGTATGCTAATGGTAGCTACTTCCTTCAGTTATTGCCATGCTTGTGGGTAAACTCTGGGTAGGAATCTCTTTGGATTGAGTAGAAAAATGTCAATTGGCAAATTATTTTTGTTCCTAGTAAGGAACCTTTTCATGCATCTGGGAAGGAAGATCGTAAATGAGGCCTATTCTCCATACATTTCTTTTCAATAACTTTACAGATACTTAGGGACTAACAAACTGTATACTATCAGTGAAAAAAAAACCTTTTCTTGGGAGGGTGATGGTAGTTCTCACCCACCCAGATTTGAGATGCTGAAATATATTACCATAAATGCCACACATTACCTGAGCACGGGATAGAGAGGAATGGAGGAGATGCTGGGGCCTGCGCACGAGCCGATGAACGGGTCGTTTAAGTGCTAAGTGCTTTAAAGAACAGTAGGTAATACTAAATTCTGCCCACATTGTATTTATGGTTGTCATACGCGTCTCAGAACTGGTATATATTGTTTCATTATGCAAGATAAACCAGTTGATCTTTTGTAATCGAGCTGCATTGCTGCTTCTGATATATGTATTGAATTATGACTTATTGTTTAGATGGACTTCATGCTTTAAAACTTGTTCATGTTTCAGGGTTCAGACAAAGGAGATTTGGGTTCTCATGGCGGTAAAGATATCGATGTTCTGGGTTGTCTCCCTATCACTTATTACACCTACATCCCTACGTTCGGAACTAAACATTTAGACCGGATTCTGGCATAAGTCACTGATATGATTGAATAATACCCATAGGGCTTAACAAAAAGAAAGTGTTACAGAACTGTGTTACAAAATCTTTACTGTCATTTTCCTGATGAGCATGGACCATATTACCCACAAAAAGTACAAATATAAGGCTGTGGTCAAAGTGGCACCGATATCGGTTGTCAGACGTCGGCCGATGATAATCGGCCGACAGCTTGGTCATAGTGCCTCCGACTAGTTTGTCATTTGTCGGCAGAATGGACGTTCCAACACTTCTGTGTTTTGAGATGAGTTCTGTGTTAAGATATTTGTTATTAAAAAGAAAAAGATTCCACGTGAATGATATTTATGTATCTCGAGAAGAACGCGGCGAGTATCATAAACTCTTTCCTCGATTGCTTGAACAAGCGGACAAATTTTACGAGTATATGAGAATGAAGGAGGAAACTTTCTACTACATACAAGAGTCGATTCGTGATCTTATTGCGAAGCAATCGAACTTCCGAAAATGCATTTCGCCAGAAGAGAGGCTTGTGGTAACCTTAAGGTAAGTTATTTTTGAATTATATATTCTTGACTCATTTGTATCTTCTAATTAGTTTCAATTAATTGTAGGTATATTAAATAATTTTAATTTATTCTACAATTAAGGTTAATGTTAAAGATGATATAGTTTTTACAGAAATAATAGTGTAAATACAATGAATGAAAACGATTTTATTGCAAAGTTACAAATTAAATTCTATGATTGATAACACAAATACAGATGAATCCAAAACACGAATAGTGCAATTTTCAATATTTTCCGAGATGAGGTCTGTATGTTATTCTTTGAAACTTAAAATTCAGTGAGACCATCTGAGACGGTATTTTTAGCATTTTCAAGTTGTTGAAGGGTGTGAATTCCTTCGGACATATTGCCCATCTGTGTGTCAGTAACATTGCTGAGGCCCCAGTTCCCTGAGCCTGATGGACTTGGTGAAGGAGTGCTTGAAGATGGTGAACCATCTAATGATGGTGGGAAGTGGTGAACCAATCTTTGATCTTGAATTAGGACCTGCTGTAATTTGATGCGGGTGAGTAATTTTTGGTGTTGTGGTATGGCACGTAAATGTGGGAGTCTTCGTCTTCCTCAATAATCCTTTCTTTGTGGGCACTGATTCCTTTCAAGCGTGCCACTTTGACTTTTTCCAACTCTACCAGATCATGTATGGGATCTTTTTTCACTCGATGTCTCTTCTTCGGCGATTCGAATGGCTTTTCGGGTGTTGCATGTTTATGTGTAATCACGGAGGGGGTACTTTCATCAACAGCCTGTTCAGTATGTGAATCCCCTTCAAGTGACTCATTTTCCGTGTCTGATGTCTGAAGATCTGGTTGATTTGCGGTAATCGTGAAGTCGCTTGAGTCGCCTTTTTGAGGTCTGGGAATATTTGAAGCGAGACGCCTTGAGGCATAGGTGTCTTGCAAAAAATTCATTTGCTGGAAAAACTTCCATTTCGACTCGTTATCCTCAGAACCTGTTGGTAGGTTGGTCCTTCCGAATTCTCGACGATGAGTGTCTTCCAATGTTGCCATTTCGTTTTAACGCAGTCACCTGAAAAAATAATAAATGAATTGGAGATAGGATTACAAGGTATACAAGTAATTATTGTCAATGAATCATTCCTACAATACTCTTCAAACAATAATATAACAATAACAATACATACTATTTTATAAGTGATGTATTATTTTGTTTCAGGTTTTTATCAATGGGAATAGCCTTCAGATCATTGGGATTCTCATTCAGGATTGCTCATAATACAATCGCCAGCATCATTTATGAAACATGTGAAGCCATTTGGATGGCATTCCATAAAAAAACACATGCCTCCTCCATCTGTTGAATATTTTTACAATATTTCAAGTGATTATGAGCGTTTGTGGAATTTTCCTGATTGTGTAGGAAGCAATGACGGGAAACACGTCCGCATAAAATGTCCCCCTAAATCTGGCTCCATGTTTTATAACTACAAAAAAATTTTCTCCATCCATCTTCAAGGCATCGCAGACGCTAAATATAAATTTATAACCGTGGATGTAGGAGCATATGGATGACGGAGCGATAGTGGTGTTTTCATGGAAACTGGTGTCTATCATCATTTGGAAAATAATTCATTCAACGTACCACCCAATAAACCACTGCCAGGAACAAATGTTAGTGTGCCTCATGTATTGCTTGGTGATCAAGGATATCCACTAAAGGAATATTTGATGAGACGGTATCCTATTGGAAACAATAATGATCACGAAACTGAGATTTTCAATTATCGCCTGAGTAGAGCTAGACGCTCAATCGAATGTGCCTTCGGTATCTTAGTAAGCAAATGGAGATGCCTCAAGACGGAACTACAACTACATCCAGATCACGTTGATACTGTTGTCAAGTGCGTTTGCTTATTGCACAATATCGTAATCGATACAGAAGGAATAAGTGAGTCTGTATTATCAGATACCAACGCAACCCATGAAAACAATGATAGTGACCAGGCCAACTCTACAAGACGTTTCAATCGGTCATCACGGAGACCTTATGAAATTCGTGATGCATTTAAACAATATTTTCTTATCACAAATGTACCTTAAAACTTTGTTGGTTACGTTAATTATTTCAGGAATGACAATTCAACTGTTAACACACTGCATGATGGTTGAATTAATAATTAATTATAATGTGTGATGGTTGTATATCTGTGTATGTTAATAATTTCAATACTTACTTGTAGTTTCCAATGAAGTGGCGATCTCAATCCACAGCTTCCGAGCTACATCTCAATTATGATACTGACCACATCGCGGATCCCACAAACTTCTTCTTTCTTGCACGAAACTTATCAATTTTTCACAGTCCATCTTTATATCTCTCACATGAATCATACATCGGCCGATGAGATCGGTTGCACTGAGACCACGCACGTGCCTTCCAACAGGTTTGAAAAGATCGGGCGAGTTCGGCCGACGGCCGAATCGACCGATGTTGGTGCCACTGTGACCACAACCAGTCCATTCAATCGGGAGCTTTCCGAGAGTTTGCGCACAGATTAGTAAGAGAGTCATGGAATACTTCGTCAGTATATTCTAGGCATGGATCCAATCATAAGTAAGCAAAGGACAAACTTCAAAGTGACGTGAAATATTTAGTGGAAGGTGTGCGAATCTCCTGTAAATAATGCCTCATATGTAGTGAACGTGTCATCAGGAACCGTTGAACACCATGGAACAGACAGAGTATATTGTAATGAATATCTATATACGTTAATAACTGAAAGACAAACTTCCTGCATATGGAAGTGTAGGCTTTTTTTTTTTTTTTTTTGGTGTTCAGATGTCACATTAATAATTATGACTGACAGTGAAGAGTATGCTAGTTGTGCGTCAGTTGAGGCATCTTCCTCACCATTCTATGCGATGTACCGTGTTCTGAAGGACCTCTGCACGAACAATGCACAGTTCTTTCAACAGGACGAGAGTGAAAGTGGACAGAGGCTGAATGCTGGATTCCTGGCACTAATAGACCAGGTGGACATGATCATACCAATGGTGGATGATGTTAGGAAAATAGCTCCACTGTATGACTTTGATGAAGGCACGCCTGGTAATGGATATCGTAGCTTTGTGTCTGTGATCGACAAGTGTGTGCAGCATGGTGTTAAGCTAAGCAGGCTGGTGTGTGACAGCCGAGATTCATTCTTGTTCAGGAAGACCTTCTATATGAGGTAACAACATCGTGGTCGAGTGGTAAACACTTTTGCTTCGTATTCAGGAGGCCGCGGATTTAAATCTCGGCTCGAAGACCGGCTATCTTCACTGGGGGTTTTTCGTTTGTTTCCCCAGTACCTCCAAACAAATGCAGAGGTTGCACCTTCAATTAGGGCACTACTGCTGCCTTCCACATTTTTTCCAATTCATTGTTCACAATTATCCTCCCATTCAATGCTTCTAAAAAACATTGTTAAATAAGTATAAATAATTGAAGTAATAGAGGTTCATCAGGTGTCTTATAGTGACAGCCACGTTTATATAAGGTAAAAGTAAAACTATTATTTTATATCTTACTTAAGACTTGCACAACCGATGTGCTGCAGCATACTAATGTGCTGCCACAAGGTTTCAGATATGCTACTTGTTTTTATAAAAGTATGTAGTATATTTGCATATAAAGCATGGTCTCTGACTTTGAGAGAAAGTCGGACTGAAGGTGTTTTGATAATGAGGTACTGGGTGTTATATTTGGGCTTAAGAAAGATGAAGAAATGTAGGTCTGGATGAAACTACATAGTTTATATTCTTTTACCTAATATTATTACAATGATTAGCATAAGTCAGATGAGTATGTTGTTATTTTCTTCAGTGCTACATTTCAAGACATTCTGATAAATTCCTATCCTAGCTTATGCTGAGGTTGGGCACTTAAGCACATGTGATTACTTTAACATTATGTATTATCTACTTTTTAAGTGACAAGCCTTGCAGAAAAATGTAATATATTAACTGAATAATGCAGGGAGGTGGAGGCATGTAGCCACTTACTGGCATCTCTAGGAACATGCATGGCACATCTCCAGACACTCTTGTCTTGGAGCACAGAGAGTCAGCTATTCCCAGATGAACAACATTCCACAGAAGATTTATTGAACCGTGTGGAGAGCATCAACATGTACTGCTTCTATGGCCGCTGTCTGGGGTTCCAGGTATAGGAATAGTTTGAATATTCTACTGTTTGACCATAATCAAACTTATTTTTCTGAAACATTACATTAGTTGTCATAGAAATCAGGATGGAATTGGTCATTTAGATGTTTACTGTGCTAACATGGCAAATTATCATACTTTTGAGGTTGGAGTAGTAGCAGTAGTAATAGTTAGGACTTCATTATACATTATCTTTTCTTGTGGTAATTTTTGTTGAAATGGAGTATGTTTACTAGTGAATCACAGTTTTTCAATTTAATATCTTGATAATAACCACTAATAGGCATATTATATTTGGTAGTGACAGAGATAGTTGGCCCAGGACAATGTCCGGTGGAGGGCATTGGTGAATTCGGTGATGAACCTTCAATTCTGTATCTATCTAGTTAGTTAGTTAGTGACCGAGATAGTAAATGTGATTACATATTTATGTTATTAGTATCATAATTATCATTTCGGGAAGTACTTTGTAGTGACTAGGGTGTGGGCTGGTTTAATTCCCAACAAAGCAGGATTTTTTTCTTTGTCACAATGTCCAGACTAGCTTTGGGCCCACCTAGGCCCCTATCCAGTGGGTTGTCTGGTTCCTTTGTTGTGGGGCACAGCTGTCAGGGCGTGAAAGTGAGCATTCATCTGCTGAGGTTAAGAATATATGTACCTACACTCCCATGCGCTTAGTTAAACTTTATCAATGGTGTGTTACTGCTTACATGCTTATTCATCATCCAGCTGGCTATGCCTGGCCATACATTGCAGTAATGTATCTCAAAACAGTTAAACCCCATAGTTAAAGTCTGGTCATTCATAATAAATATAATGTGGATGCCTTGGCTAGGGAGGGATTGAGCAATTCATTTCTCAGTTCCTAACGAGCAGTTTCAATCTCATGTGTTTGTAAGCTTATGGTTAAGGAGTGGATGAAGGAGAGAGACTCTGGTACCAGGTGTGAGGCATTTAAAGTTTTTTTGATAAACTGTGTAGAGACTTGATGGCCTTGGACATTAAACACTGTAGGCTGGTAACAGAGTTGTTAACTGGCCATTGTAAATTGAGGTTGCACATACATCATGGACCTCTCAGAAAGTGTTATGTGCAGGAAATGTGGACAGTAGGAAGAATTCTCAAACCATATACTCTGTCAGTGCCCGTCATTAACTAGGCATAGAATAGAAACCTTTGACTCTGCATGGCTAGAGCCAATAGACATTAGGAGTGTGTTGGGTTGGTTCTGGTTCTAGCAGTGCAATTAGTTTACTTTGAAGGTACCTAAAAAGATACATGGTGCACAGTGGTCCCAGCAGTGGTCTCAGTGCCTAGGTCAGCTGAAATTCTCCTCTCTAGATAAGATAGAAGTACCTATATAAAATATAGTTAGCAGCCTTTAGTGTATGGGTTTAAATCCCCTATCCTAAATACCAGGGACAACTGTACCTCCTACCTTAACCTTTAGTAAACAAAAGAAAGTTAGCTAAAACCAGTTAACACATAAGTTGTTGGCATAAAACATGCATGCAATTACAGATCACAACATTTTGGAAAGAATGTATGAATTTTGTGCTTAAATATGGTATAATAGTTATCTATCATTCTTGTGATACCAACATATATTCTTCACTGTTTAACATTCCTCTGCCTGGTGAAGTTGAGTGACAGAAATTGACATAGTTCATAGCAGAGCTGGGTCTGACAGTGGCATGATGTCTGTTTCTCTCTGTCTGTTACTACAGTTTTGTGAATCAATGCAGAAAATACTAAAGACAGTCTCCATCTGCATGGCATCTTTCAGTGAGATCTACTATGGGAATGGAGGCCTACTGGCTCGAGCTACCAGCTCTGTATGGACAGGTAATCCAGGCAGTACAGTTCTGAGAGCATAATATGCATATAATAACATTTCAGTCTTAAAAGTATGAGACTGCAGAGAAACCAACTGTGTTATGAGATTTCATTCTTATTCTTTCAAAGTAATAAAGATTGATTCTTGGTACTTGTAAACAATTCAACCCTCTGTCATGTAATTTTTATATGCATGTGTTGTAGGTCACATTTCTTATTTCAAAATTTGTCCTGAAACATAGGTAACCTATAAGATGGTCAGGCTGATTAACACTCTTATTTCAAATTCAGAAAGCCCCAGATCTGTAATGTCAGTTCTAATGATACGATTTGCACTTCCATTCATCTTTCCTCAGCCCTTGGTTTTCTTAAAGGGCTTCCTTGAAAGTTGCTCTTCTTGGGACTTTCCTTGAAAGTTTCCCTTCTTCGGGTTTTCCATGGAATGCTTGCTTTTCACACAATCCAAATTATCAGTACCAAGAAAACCTTGAATCTCATTCTGAAATAATAATATTCAAGGTTTTCTTATTGGCAAGGCCATTTATGTTGCAATAGGATGATGGCAGTCTGTGGGTACTCCTCAGAAACACTTAATGGGTTATGGAAAAACGGGTTTGTGGTAGACTGACATTCAGTAATGGGCTTTGACTTGCCATATGTATGGCAAGTAAATATATATTTAGTCATAATCATAATATATATTCTCTCTTTCTAAGGCTTGATTTTAAAATAAACATACTGTTAGTAGTGTACATTATAGTGACAGAAATACTTAAGTTTTGCAGTTGAACATGAATCATCATCTATGCTATCTTTGTAATCATTATTATCTTTGTCTATTGACATTTCCACCACAGTGAACTGTTTTCAAAACAAAATCCTCCATCCTTCAAGCACTCTTATGTACTCCCTTTTATGTATCTTCCTTTACTTGGTCCCTCCTAATTCTTTGTCTCCTCACTCGCTGTTTATATACCATATTTTTTTCATTACTATCAAAGGAATATTAACAGTCATCTGTGCTCAATGCATATTTATATATGGTTAGAGAGGATGATAAACTGTTAATTTTTTTGGGAGTATGCATGTCGGTATATTTAATGACTGATCTTATTCTTTACAGGTGGAAAATATCTGCTGGATCCTGAATTGCGAGCACGAAGAATTGTCAATATTTCTAAGCATGCTTCTGTTGATTTCTGTAAATCTTTCTGGCACCTGGCAGATACAGGTTTGTAACACACAAATGAGCTGATACTGGTAATTTTAGAATAGTTCTTCAGTTTAAACTGTTTGGAAAAGGACACATGTACATATACACTTTTTTGCTTAGAATGAACGATACTATGACCTCCCAGAATATTGACCTTTCCTCCTGGGACACTCTGTATAGTGAGTGACATGCTGTTTGTTACATTGCTGATGTGTGATATCATCAGCTACTGAAGTTGTTACTTTCATCAGTAAGGATGAATTGAAAATCACCAGCATTGGTGGTATACTTCATTATTGAACAATTAATTTTCATTTAAAATAAAAATAAAAAATGAAACAAAATTGCAATAGAAATTTTTGTTTTGTCCTTGGAGGCTGACACTGAAAGGGTAGGAAAGAGCTGTAAGGTCCTTAATATAGGACTTTATATTCAGTGCTTATTATTGTTGTCTAATTTTAACCAAAATTGAAATGTATCAGAAAATTTTAGTAACCCCCCCCCAGTTATTAAATTTAATGAAAATTCATTTAGCTGTTACACATGTTCAGATGGATGAACAAACAAACAGGCATCATGAAGCTAATGCACACATTTGTAACTTTTAGTTGTGAATGTTCTTAAAAGAAAGAAGAGGACTGGTGTGCTTATGGAGGGGTACAGAATAATGGAGAACACTGTGCAGGACAGTTCACATTCAGATGTCAGCAGATGATGATGATGATGAATTTGAACTCTGCATGTAGAAATGGTACATACAATGCAGTCAGTTTATAGAATAAATTTTCACACACTTTTATTGAAGTCACTGCAGGCAGAGAAATAATTCTCAGTTAGTGAGGTTGAATTCAAGAAATGTGAAGTTTGTTGTTGGTGTGATTAAACTGAAATAGCATTATTCATTCAAATTTTTGTTTTCATCATCACTGCAGAGAACATGATCATGATATTTGTCACAATGCAACTTGATGCATCGCAGAACTGATGGGGCGGTTGCCTGGCATGGTTTGCCCAGCAGTTGCAGTTAACAAAGTGGTCTGTATTCCACCTGAACCATTGGTGCATATAGCACCAGATGGATGTGCTATTTCTGTGCCCATTCCAACAGCACACTTTGGACCAGCACCCATAATGGCTCGCTTCCTATCTGCTGTCAGGCGAGAGGGCATGGTAAGTTAGGGCCAGATGAAAAATTATTTGTGGAATGGTTCAAGAGAAACACACAATTTTGTTTCAATTGGTACATTCTGAATTATTGCAGATTGCGGACTCGAAGGAACGGGGATCAAATTTGCTGCCTCCATCCCCTGGACTCATTATCCACTGCCATGGTGGTGGTTTTGTTGCGCAGAGCTCCCGCTCACATGAGATATATCTGCGAGACTGGGCATGTCAACTGAAAGTGCCCATGCTGTCCATTGACTACTCACTGGCCCCACAGGCGCCTTTCCCCCGGGCATTAGAGGAGGCATTATATGCATATTGCTGGGCTATCAATAATGCTCACATAATGGGCTCCACAGCAGAAAAAGTCATCCTTGTTGGTACGTTGAAGGGAGTGTGAATCTTAAACTATACACAAACTGAGAACTGCCAGTTCTCTGGTCTGGATTTTAACTTCCTCCCAAATAAAAATCAGACATGTTATCTTGGCATAAATGTGTAAAGTACTTTGTTAGAAGATAGACTGAACATCCATCCTTGTGAATGAGTTCATCTGAATAAGATTGTAATTCTGTGGAAGGAAGAGCTAAATTGATCTTTTGGGTTATGACACCATTTGGACTTTTAGGTAGGTACCACATTACTAGTGAAAATATTAATCAAAGATAAAGCACAATTCATCTGTATGTTTTTCAGTTACCTCTGTTTAGACAGGAGAACAGCTTTAATCCTTTATGCCCTAATTTAAATTACAATACTAGCTGTGTAGCCTGGGTGACAGAATTGGCTCAGTAGTGAAAACACTTTATTTTGCTGGATGATGATGTTGACTGTTGTGTGATCACACTGTCAGTAAAATGAGTGGATATGAATTCCTGGTAGGGGTAGGATTTTTCTCTTAATCATGTCCAAACTGACTGTTGAGCCCACACACCATCATATCTAATGGGTGATGGCTGATGTGCTCAGAACATGAAATTGACCACTAACTCCCACTGTCAAATTTGAGTTTGCATGGAGCTCTGCCTCCACTCCCCATATATACCTGAATGACATGATGTTTAGCCACTCAGACAATGCTATTTTACTTCCATTTTCAGGCATTCTTTAAGCTTAATATAGAATGTCCTAGTTTTGGATCACATCTGTCGATGACTAGTATAAGAGTTGTACTTCATAAACTACTAGTGGATTTTATTAAGAATGTTTATTAAAATTATATCAGACGCACAGGAAGACCTAAGTTTACATTCTTACTTTTGTTATTCAATATTCACCACATCATAAAATGTTTCAGACAAAAATTGTGAAACTTGACAAAAACAGTATTTGATGCTGTAAATTTTAGGACCAGTTTTAAGTGTGTACTGTTTCAGGGGACTCAGCAGGAGCAAACCTCAACATTGGAGTGACCATGAAGTGTATTGAGCTTGGCATACGTGTCCCCAATGGGTTGTTTCTGGCCTATGTACCTGTGTTGGTGTCATTTGTACCATCTCCCTCAAGACTCCTTTGTCTAATGGATCCACTGCTGCCATTTGGCTTCATGATCCGCTGCATGAAGGGTGTGTTTTTCTGTATGTGCATGTGCAAACATTAGTGTGGAGCCTTTGTTACATCTATGGATGATGCATATAAAGTGTATATAACTTTTATTTAAAGTTTAGTAACTGTGAACAGACAACAAACCATTTATAGTTTGCTACTGTGTAAAGTTTATGTAGATGGCTGTCTTCTGAGTTTTTAAACCGTGTAGTCTGGTAGATACCAAACTACATGGTGCAACAACCCAGAAGACAGCCGTCTTTGGACTCACCACCATGAAACCCTCAAATCCTATAAAATTTGTGATATCTGAATATTTATGTTACCTGTGATCCATATATATAAGTAAGTTTCTTTCATTCCATTTGTGTTTGGTTAGTAGTATGCATTTGCAGTTGCATCAGAGCCCTGGTGCATAGTATCACTGAGATTATCTTACATGCAGTAAAATAATAACCATGTGTGATTACTGCAATATTTCATGAAACTCAAATATGGATTTTTTAAGCTCTTTGTAATTTTTTTGTTTGCTGTGGAATAATGGATGTTTTTTTAGGGTGCACATGCATGTGAACACACAAACACATTTGTATTTTCTGGAATTTCTGCATTACTTGGTCTATGAAAGAAATATTTGTAAGACTTATTTTCCCTCCCTTTGTGTTCCAGCATATGCTTGTCCTTCTAAGGATGACATCACTAGCACATCATCAAACACAAAGACACTATTAGAAGGCAGTGACACAGAGTCCTTTGAGGAGGTCTCGGAGAGTGATCTGCAGGAGCTGGCAGCCCACAAGAGTGTATTGTCAAATGATTCTGACACACTGACAACAGTGTCTCTGGCATCCTTGCAATCAAAAGCTGAGGCAGACCATACAGTTGAAAACAATGGTAGGTAATATGCATTGCCACAAATGCATTCTATTTTGTACTTTTCTGGATATTTTATTATAGAATGTGGAAATACTAAGTGTTTGGACTCAACATCAGACCAAACACAGTATTTTTCTATGCACTGTGATCATTTAAGAGGAGACCAAGGTTTAATTGAAGCATGTTGTAAGTTAACACACAGTAAAATCTACATATAATGGAAACCCAATCAACCTGAAAATTTTCTGTTTCAGACAGGTTTTAATTTAATACAGATACTTCTAGATAAGAAAGATATTGTACAGTATATATCCTATGTATTTATGTTTAGAATCACAGATAAATTTTTACTAGTATGCACTTTGTATTACTTTTTAAAATAGTCCTTTAAAGTGTTGTACACATGAAGATGGCTGTCTTCTGGGTTGTGCCATGTAGTCTAGTAGAAGTTTACTGATGTTTCAGGGGTCCTTGCTGCCTCCATCATCAGGTTGATGATGCCATGATGATGGATGCAGCAAGGATTTCTGAAACATCAGTACACTTCTACTAGACTACACAGTGCAACAACCCAGAAGACAGCCATCATGAGACTCATTGCCTTGAAAACCTCAAATCCTGCTGTTGTACACATATCTTGTTAAAGGTTTTGCTCCATTTATAACATATATACTCCTTGTCAGATATACTTGAAGAAGGACACTATGGAACAAAAATGTATCGCCAGAAAGTAATATGCATTGATCTAGACTTGCTTCTATTAAAATGTTTTCCTGTCTGTTTCCATATTCATTAGAGCTCAATTTACCTTAGTTTCCACTATATATTATGGGGACTGGAGAAACGTTGATTTTTAACTAACTTAATAGGTTTTAGATCTAAGATATTTCATATATAGAACCTAAATTTATTATTTTAAATATCTGAAAAAATGTTTCCCTATGTATAATATTGTATTTGTAAAACATGTATGGTGTTGACTGAGGTATACAGTCATATTAAAAACTTGGATGTTTGTTCAAGGCTAATTGTGGATGTTGATACTGCCATTAATATTCTGGATTCAACTTTGTGCAAAGTAATTGAAGCAGGATGGGAATATGTTAATGTTGCAGGTGCTCCCAACCCAGCAGAATGCTACATGGAGAAGTATGTTCTAGACTCTGACACAGATTCAGAAGGGTGTAAGATCCAAGTGCTTCGTTCAAAACCAAAAGTAGAAGAGAATGTCTTATTTGAGGTGCCCACTCAACAGGACTCAGGACTGAGTTCCAGACTTGGTCGTGCTGTGGGGAACATAGCAAATTACATGACTGGCACTGAGCCACAGCAGACACCAGCTGGAAAGCAAGGCCAAAGGTTTATAAAATAAATTCAGCATTATACATTTTTCTTTCTCCTGCAAAGTACATCAGTCACCCTGATGATGGAGGCAGCAATGACCTCTGAAATGTCGGTAAACTTCTACCAGACTATGCATTGCAACAACCCAGAAGTTTAGTGACTGTGGATCAGTCACAGTATTTTATTTCCCTGTAATTATTTTTTTAACTCTTTTCAAGATACATTTTTACAAGCATTCCTCTTGTTGATGGTTGTCTTCTGTTGTGATGACACATGGACCTGTAGGTAGATACCAACATTTTAGAGGAACATACTGCCTCCATCTTTAGTACTGTGAGGACATTAGTATTTGAGTGCTCTGAAAGCAGCAGGGAACCAATGAAGAAGTGAGGATTCCCATTAAGAATGAAATCAATGAAGTAAGGTAATGATCACTTGACAACTGTTGTTTATAAAAAAAGCTGTTATTTTGTTGCATTACGAACTTGCTCATTAATGTTTATTGTCATTTTGGGGGATGACATCTTTAATAGTGATGCAACAGATAGTGGTTGAATGGTTTCAAGTGGCAGAAAAGAAAAGCAATATCATTGAATTCTAAGGTACTCTGCAGTGCAGTTTGTTTTTTGAAAATATTGCCAGTATTTTTAAAAATGTATTCTCAAGTTGCATCTAATTACATACTCCTGTCATTCTAATTTCATTGTTAGAACTGTGGAAAGAGCCATATTGAGATTTGAGTTCTTAATGTTGCATTGGAATGTTGGAGAAGTTTTTGTGAGGAAAATGCATTTCTTTAAGTTTAAAAATATGAGTAAATGAAATGCTCTGCAAGATTTCTCATCAGATAAATCAATATTAAAGTATAAATTGTGGATCATCTACCAAAACCTTTCTATAAAATGGAAATGATGCTAGAGAAGAAAATAACCCATACAGAACGTAGTTCAATGTGTCATGTTATGTTCTGTGTCTAAAGCAGGAAAGCATTCCAAACGGTTTTGTACTTTGTAGTTTGAGTCTTGGTAGTGAGTCTCTAGAGGCCCTAGACTCACTCATGCAGCGCAGTGCTTCAGATGACTTGCACTTCACTATCCCCAGAGATCCATATCTGTCTCCGTACTGGGCAAGTGATGAGGTGCTAAAACAACTCCCCACTACCAAGATAGTGGTGAGTATGGGAAGAAATGTATTGTCATTATACCAGAGGTTGCAAATGTTGAACAAATGACTAAATCAGATCAGAAGCTAAATCAGATAAAAATCAGCTGACTGATTTCCTGACACTGGGATGGTGTGTTTGCTGAGCAAGCAGTATTTGTGTTTATAAAATTCCTTGCTAGAAAAGAGATTGATATGGCAGATGATAGGTATTAACACTGATAACAGTGTTCAGAGTAAACTAATTAAATATCTTTCAGCAGAGATATAACAATTGTGCGCCTGCAGCCAATACACAGTGCACTGCATACTGCCAAATGTAGAAGTCTTTGTTAAAATCTATGGTGTTTTTGTGAATGAAATGGAATGGTGTTGGGAAGACAGATTTAAGTACTTAGAAAATGGTAAAGCTGTCAGTTGTGTTACATCTTTATGCTGTTGGACAGTTAAAAAAATTGGTAACTCTAATTCATGGGTCAGATTTTACAGTTTATAAACCAAGTTCATATTTGCAATGGGAATTTTAAGTTATTTAGTAAATTAAGACTGGTATTTATTTGAAGTAATTTCTTGAAACCTATGGAAAAAATGCTGTGGTACACACAGAAATGTTTTGCTGGAAATTTTTAAAAGATATAAAACAAAATATAAAAGTAACATTGGAAACACCAACTGGTTGCACAGCACAGAGTTTCCTCTACATAGACATGAAAAAGGTGTAGAAAGTACATTTTGCATTGCTGTATTTTATAACTAATAGATCCAGCCCAAGTTGACTTTAATCTCTGTTCATGAACTCCTTCCTTGTCATGATGTTAACACTTAATAACTCCTACATTAACATTAAGTAATTCACAAATAATAAAAAAAACTAATCCATCAGTACATTATTCATTATTATGTATGTATTCATTACAATATTTCATGAATTTATTTGCATAGAATATTGACACAGTTTCATTGCAGTCAGTTCAGTTGGACCCTTGTCTGGATGACTGTGTGATGTTTGCCAAGAAACTGAAGAAGCTTGGTGTAGCTGTATCATTGGATGTGATGGAAGGCCTCCCTCATGGCTTTCTTAACTTCAGTCAGGTAGGTTTGTTCTCGTATTCTTAGTTGTTAAAAATTTGTACTGATAAGTGTGCATGTTTCCACCTGATAATTATGTGATGTTTTATTCTCCCTGCAGCTGAGCAAGGAGGCACGCTCTGGATCCAACCAGTGTGTCAGGAGGATTCAAGAACTCCTATGCTTGTAGCATCATGTGGTTACATTCTAATTTAAATGGTAATTATTGAATCAGCAATAAAATGTATATTTCATAGATTGTGTACACAGAAATTACAGAATCTTAAGTTCTCTTGTGTCATTCATCCTCCATCCCTCTACTGAGTTCCATTTCATCTGATCCCAGTGATAGTGTATCATTTTAATCAGCCTTTTCATCAGAGTATTCTTGTTGCTAGATGCTTTCATGTGGACATATGTTAAAACTATAGTTTTATCAGTTCCTTTGCATATCCAAGTTCATGGAACTCAGTCCTTCAGAAGCTGATTGTCATTCAGATGGTCAACAAATGCACTGCCTTTCATGGAATCTGAAGATACATTATCATCTTTTATTGATTCTCTTCAATTAAAATATTTTAATTCAACTATAAAAGATTATCCTCTACAAAAAGATTTAAAAATTTATAGCCAGCCACTGGATACTATGTGCAGCCAGTTGATCCAGTGCATACCCACACATCTTATTTAGTTCAGACCAGTTTATGTAGTATCCAGGTCTATCAAGCAGCTCTAAACTTCATTATTATAGATGCTTTTCTTCAGAGTTCAAATTGTGGTTCACATAGCATTAATACAAACTGTTCAATCTGGAACAGATTTTAGCCAGTCATGAAAATCCATTCAGAACCTTTCATGTGTACAATTTACACCCCTAGAATTGCTGGTTTTCTTCATCATTGCCATCATAGGTTCTGTGGCTACCATGTTACTGTACATACTGCACAAATACTGGTGTACAACAGTGAGTTTGCCTCCAACAACATCGTCAGAGCAAGTTTCCTTAAAATGTCAGTTGGTTAAACAAGACTAGAAAAATGTGTACTTTTTGGAGTACACTAAGATTCCAAAGATATTCTTTATGCCACATAGCAGGTGTTGTCAACAGGGGAATATAAAATTCAACTGTGGTATCTAAAGTAACTGTGACATTCAGGGTCATTGTAGTAACAGTGTGCTTAAAGACTAGACAGACATGGACGGGCCTTTAAAGTGTTTTTCACTTATGCTGAAGCCTAAACAAGACCTGAAAATTATATGGAGAGGGGACATGACTGTACCACCAGCCTATCTTTAAAGTAAGGAATGTATTCTAAAACTGAAGGTCCCAAACATCAATGAGTGAAATTACTAAAATTTGGGTTTGTACAGAAATATTATGTCAGCTCTGTTGTTATGAAGATGGAGTGTAAATGAATGAGGTAAATTGTATTGCAGATTGTGGTTGTACATGATTTCCTGCATAGAATTTGGCAGTACTGTGCTGGTTAATCTGGCAAGTGTGATGGCTGCACAGGCAGTCATATATCTCATGTCTTTTGGAGTTTTTAATTCATTTAACAAGAACTGAATTAATATACAGGTTCAGACACATCTACGCTCTTAATCCCTTGACATGTATCTTTTAATATCAAAATAGTTGTTTTAACAAAATTTATCAGGATTGGAGCTATGTACAAGACTAAAACCAATGTCTCACTGTCATTTTTCTTTTGAATACCTGTGACTAGCAGTCTTTAACATTCTCATAATAGAATTTCATCACAGTCCATTCACCATGAGCACAGTTGAGTTGTTAGCATGCTTCAGAAATCCTGGGTTTGAATCTCTAGCCAGATGTTACAATAGACCACAAATTCACACAGCTTTTTCAGTTCATCATAATGTTACGCTACATAACCCATGAAGTTGAAAATCTGTGTGTAAACTACCCAGACAACTTAAACATTTCTTGGTTAAATTTGTATTTTTATTAGTATCAATATTATGCTTTTAAAAATGAATCATCAATATAAAAGACTGGAATACTGAAAAATTAAACAGTTGCCATACAAAGAGGTTTTTTAGAGTATTCTAATGTATAATAGCATAATGACATTCCATTTTAGTGAAATGAGTTCACCTCACCCATACTTATGATGTGTTAAATTTATTTTGGTGTTCTAGTTCCAATCCTTGGTTTGGCAACAAAGATATACATTATTCTGACTGTTCTGGATGAATGTGTTAGCAGGGACTCATGACAATGCTATTGAAACTTGCAACATAACCATATATTTCCATTAATTACAAAATGTATTTCAGCTAGAGAAGTCTGTTGAAGTCTAGGTATCAGAAATGTAAAACTGAAAAAGAGTAAGGTCCATATTACAAATCATTTGTGGACATAAATAAATGAAATAACATGCCCAATGTTCATAGCTGGAGTAATATTTCTCTTCCTGTACTGTTATAATTTAATCCACCATCCTTCTGTCATTAATTGAACCAGAATGAAAATAATGTAATTACACTCACTTATCAATTGTAATAAACTGTTAAGAGTTTGTATAATAATTTAAAGTCACATCCTTATATTCTTCATTATTTCTCATTGTCTTTCTTTTCTTCACCTGTCTTAGTATCACCATTTGTTATTTTAGGCCGGAGAGTCTTCTGCAGCACATGTGCATCAGCTGGTTCAATCCTCTTATAGTAGTGTTCCTTAGTGTCAACAATTTCAAAGCCAAATTTTTTATAGAAGTCTATCGCTCCCTCGTTGTTCACTTGCACGTGTCTGCAAATAAAATGTATTCAAATATTAATTTAACTTACACTGAGTGTCATTTCATTGCTACTGGTATTTAGAATATGTCCCTTTACGAAAATGACATATTACCTTAAAATATGTCAATGATGATCTGGTTTGTGGTGCTGTGTAGATATCAACATTTTGGAGAAACACTGGTATCTACCCACAAATCCACATGGCATCACAACCTACAAGAACATCTTTGCCACTGTTAGAACTCAAATCCTACTATGTACAATCTTCATTACAATGAACAAAAGTATTGTGACATGTTGCGGTTGGCATTGATGTACTCGTTTATAGACATTGTTGTGTCTCTTTATTTTCATTATTGTTTGTTTATAGACGTTGTGTTTACATTGTTGCGTCTGTTTATTGGCATTGTTGCATTCGTTTAAAAGCCGACAATCGGCTTTGAGCAATAGTGTAGGAGGTGAGTGTGGAAGGAGAGTGCGAAGATAGCTGAGCTGTGAATCGCTTGTAGGTGAAGTGTGTTGTAGAATAGATCATTTTGTGTTGTAAAAGACATTTTAGTTTGATTAAATTGATAATTGCTGGAGGACATTGGTCTCTTACAATCCAACCAAGTATTCAGTCGGAAAATCAGATTCGGGGCAGCAGACGTGAATAATCCAGGGTTGACAATCAAGGTCGTATACCGTCCCACGTTACAGTATATACAGCATTTAAAATTATATAAACAAACATCATATGTACTTACAGGAAAATACTATCGAAGTTACCATCAGAATGAACATATTTGAGGACATGTTCTACCATCTTTGAGCCAATGCCAAGCCTTCGATAAGGGTATAGGCACCCTAGAGTCATAATGTACAGGCGTCTTGAGTTTTCTGAAGTGTCAATCCTACAGCACACTGCTCCCACTACAATGTCATTATAGTATGCTGTCAACATTGAGAATGCATTATAGAAACCTAATCATCAACTATATATACTCTCGTAATTCCATAACAAATTTTTATAGTCAAAACTTCATTCAATACAATACCCAATTTAGCTAACTCTCCAGCTTCCAAAACATCTTTGTAAAATTTATCATTGTAAGAGACTGGAAATACAACTTGATTAAGACGTTTAAGCTGCTTTATATTATGTGGAGTTACATCTCCCAACTCAATTTTTGACCTGAAAGTAAAAGACAAGAGTGTATGTCAATAAACATTCAAAACAAGAAACTGAGTATTAAAAAGAATATTGTGGTCCTGATGTTCAGGATGTAGGAGTCAATATACAAGACTTCCACATTTAGGAGGTACCTTAAATACAAAGATTTACAACATATTCCAAGAACAAATCACACTGTCACATCTTAATACCATCACCTAGGTGATTGTCAAATGCCCATGTATATAAACATACTGACACACTACATACGAGTTCTATCTCTATTTATACAAAACACATTCCGAACAGCTTAATACTACAGTAAATACTTGACTGTATTCCGTTAATTAGTAACTGGTAATATAAATTCATAAACTGCAGAGAGTAAGTTGAAAGGAATGTCTTTACCACAACTCTAAATAGACTTCTGCTCGTGTACACACGCTTAATTTGTGGAAGAATTTGCTGTACACTTTTAATCCTGCAAAATAAGACTCCTTTTTGTTAGACTCTGTAAGGTTAGCAATTAGTCTATAAAAGTTCAAACTGTGGCAATCGATCTATACAACGTATACGTACCTTGTCATGATACAAGCGTCCTTTATTAATAACTATGCACACTCTTCCTTTAAGATTATATATAACAATAAAATTTTGAATAAAATTGTAAGAAATGTTCCAAAATATTAACCAATAAAACCATATAAGACAAACCCAGGCCTCATACCCGCCTCGCACCAACAGATGAGTTACCAATCCGTAACAGAATTACTAACTACCGCCAGAATGCACAGTGTGACCAACATACATGACCAAGTATGAGAATGCATACAGCAGAAACGATCCTCCGAAGTACTTTTTTATCACCACTCCTATTAATGTGATTCCCAAGTTTTTAGATACCTTGGTGATCCCTGCTATTGATAACCGTGATACCCTCAAAGTTTAATTGATTTTCTGAACGAAATTTATCATATTAGTCAATGTGAGAACTAAGTCCCCATGTTAGGATCCGCATTAATAATAATATTAGTCTTGTAACAAGCTAGTTAAATTGAAATTTCACTTGCATTTAGAGGATATTAAATAATAACATGGTATGACATGACATGTTCACTATCAAAGTGTATTCGAATTGAAACTTCAAGTAGTATGACTTTCGTATTAACAAAAGTGTCAGCTGACAAGTCTTGTGATCATAGTTGGGATAGTGAAGAGAAGTGGTATGTATAATTTGTTTGCAATGAAATAGGTAGTTTATTTGTATGCATTTCATATTATGGAATATAAATATTGCGTTTTTAAGGGCTGAAATATATTATGTTCAACGATTTTCTCAAATTTTTGTATTATGAAGATTACTAAACGCTGCTCTCTGGCTAAGTGTAATTGTATTTGGATTTAACTGGGTTGTGTGTATGTATGCGATTAAAATAAAGTTGTGAACAGTTAAATTTTAATACCCAGTGGGTTTTTATATAATAAAACATTTTGTATGATGGGTGAGTAAATTGTGCAAATTTGCAGTTTCTGCTTCAGTCTCCAATACTTTTTTCATTTTCATTTTAAGTGTTTCAGTTGCATTATTTAATTTTTTTGAATAGCTGTTGGATCCTTTTCACACTGAAATGGGGAATTCTTATCATGGAATGTAAATAAATTCTGACCCCAGACTTACTACACTACTGACCTACATTTAGTATATAAGAAGTAGTTACACTGTATACAGTTCTGGTAGTTTTAGTACTTTCAGAAGGAAGTATTTGTCTCATTCAGGAATAAAATTTAAGTTTATTATACTTCAAAGGTGAAAGTGCAAAGTAAAGTTTAATTCCAGAGAGAAAAGCCTTACAGGCTAGACCTAACCATAAAGTAGCAGTGTGGTATTACTGCCTCTGAATGTGGTATGAGACTTATACCATGTATTGCACTTCACTGTTTGAGAAAAATCTTAATTAAGATTTGTATAGTTAGTACATACATGAAGTGTGGGTTACAACAGTCTCTTTGCCAAATATGGGACATCCCATCCCTGTAAAACAACACAGTTTGCAAGGTCAAGGTGGAGTGGGGGATTTTTGTTTGGCAACCAAACACTTTCCAGAGCTTGTGTAAGTTGCTTGTTCCTTTATAAAACACGGAGGAATGTGTAGGCCTTATAAAGCATTGTTAATCTGAAAGGTAGAAAAAAAATTGTTTGAGATAACATTATGGTCTTGCCCCCCCTCCCCCCATATCAAATGCAAGTATTTTGAATAAGAAAGAAAAACTGCATTTGCTTGAAATATGTGATTGACCAAACAACTTTTGGCAATGAACTGCTGTATTCAGTCATTAATAAATGATATTTTACAGGATAAAGATGTCACCAAGCCTTCCAAAAATAAAAGACGAAGAGCGAGAGTCCAAATATGGCTATGTATTTGCTGTATCTGGACCAGGTGAGTTGTGTTGCCTCTGTTAATGGTTAAATTTTCACTGAAAATGTTCTTTCAGACTTTGAAACAGGATCCCCTGTGAGTAGTTGTATTTAGATGTTGGACACCATGATGGAATTTAATTTATTTTTGAAGTGAGTGATGTTTTCTTGTGATTGTGTTGTTACAGTTTTAATGTAGGATTTTTTTTCTGTAAATTTTGAAAATAAGGATGATTTTTGCTTTCATGTATTGGTCAAGCACATCAGTGTTATTGAAGTGTGGTCACAGGATATTTTAGTGTAACTCTTATAAAAAATAAAAGGTTTTAGTTTGTTTTAATATATGCATGCTGATAACACTGAAGGCGAGGTGTAACTATGGTTTCTATGTGGAAGATATATCCAACTGAAACTACAAGGTTATCGATGCCATTTACAAGTTTCTTGATAATAACAAAAATAAGTAGTTATATATGAATTCAAACATTTTTCAATTTTATAGGTATTTTGTAAATGTACACTGGTGGCAGTATATTCCCTTCTTTTAGGAGACTTCTTTCAGGTATTTAGATGTGAGTGGTGATACTGAGTTACCTTTGTTCACACGTTATGGTTTATGTTGACAGTGGTTACAGCTGAGCGCATGGCTGGCTCTGCAATGTACGAGTTGGTTCGAGTTGGCTACTTTGAGCTTGTAGGTGAAATCATTCGGCTAGAGGGTGATATGGCAACTATTCAGGTCTGTATTTTACCCGATCAGTTTCACATATCTTTTGTTATTTATGCCTGGTTGTTGGTGGCCAAATTGTTTTTATTAGCATTATGTATTTAATGCTTAATAAGATTTTCCAGCCAGTCAAATATCTCGTCATTGTCCATTCCATAATTCTCACAGCATCATCAAATCACCATAGAGAAATTGTGTTTTTGCATATTATCATCACTGCCCATGATGATATGGTGTGAAGAACACCTTAGGAATTTTATTGTACTCCAAAGAGTCATGTTTCCAGTCATGTTTTCTACTAACGACAGACAAAACAAATGCCTGAAAGTATGCAAGAAATTCCTTAAAGAGGATAGTTGGTAAGTAACCTTACACAAATTCTCTAGGGAATGTGTCTGACTGTCGAGCCTTTTGAAGATACTCTACAGAATATAAGATCTTATCAACAGTACTTACATGGAGGAATCCACTACTTTTTTATGCGCAACAGCCTATTTTCTTTGATTGTGTAGGGTTCCGTGTTCTGCATAAACTTTGTGTGTAAGTTGTTCATGGGTGTTAGATCAGTTGGAGAGAATATTTAGCAGGGAATGAATTTTGAGATTTATGTATTATGAACTTGAAGTTTTGGTGGAGGGCTTGTTTTAAGGTATTGCCACAGCATTCACCTGAAAAGACCAAAGTAAACCACAGGAATCTTGAGCCAAGTTAAATGTTTCCACAGTTGGATCTATTTTGGATGCTGCCAAAATTTGTCTCCCCTAAACTGAACAAAGAAGTGTGACTGCGTTGTTGAGTGCTTTTACCTGAAGACATTTGGTTTTAGTGACTACAGGCATAAATATCAGCACCAAAACTATGTAAATACAATTCAAGCTGTGTGTATAAGATATGCAACTACTGATAATTTATTGTTCAGTGCATGTACAATGATATGTTATAGGTGTATGAGGAAACATCAGGTGTGACTGTGGGTGACCCTGTACTCCGCACAGGAAAACCCTTGTCTGTAGAATTGGGGCCAGGGATTCTGGGTAGCATTTTTGATGGTATCCAGCGTCCCTTGAAGGACATCAATGAGCTGACACAGAGCATATATATCCCAAAAGGTGTGAATGTGCCAGCTCTGAGCAGGACACAAGAGTGGGAGTTTGCTCCTTTAAATGTTAAGGTAATTCAATGTTGTGGCACAAGCCAGAAACTGAAGTGTGTTTTTTAATTGTGTGTCTTTTTATTCTTGCTTCTGAAAGTAAACTACAAGTCTACCTACAATCAGTTGTCATTGGAACTGTATGTTCAGATTTACATATTTTTTGGTGAGAAATTAAGAGAGCAGCTTATACAACTGTCTTGTGTATATATTATAAAATACCTACTTTTAAGGTACTTCCATATGGATCTAAGATATGAAATTCGTTATGTACATCAAAGGTCTTGAGTTAAGTGTCCAGAAAAATGGAATGTCCTTGAGAAATGGCATAGAAATTGTTCGGATATTGTTTTATGTTCCATATCTCCTGAATATGTTAGCAAGAAGATGTGTATGGGACAGAGATGTTTTTCTTTTTATGAGGATGTTCCAGAAACAGTGAATTGTTAATGTACCAACAGTGGGTGCTCTAATGTATGGTTGAGAGAATTTTATCTTTTAAATTGTAAATGCTTAATTGCATCTGCCTTTTCTGTAGGAAGTAACAGCATTCCTGTATATGTGTTGTTAGCCATGTGATGCCTCAAACACGCCTATTCATTCCTTGGTTTACAATTGTATTGGTACCTTTTTTGTAGAGTGCAGCAGAAGTTGATGAGCGGCTTCTTCTGAGTAAAATGTTTACCTGCTGCTGCACAATGTAGTGAAAGTTCCATCCACAGTCACAAAATGTTTTAAGTAAATACACTTTACATACCTGATTACAATAGCTGCTGAAAGTGGTGTCCTCCAAGACTGAAGAATATTATTTCAGTCAATGTAACAAATTGTTTGAATACATTGAAGTTTACCTTCTATGTTTTCAAGAATAATTTTCTAGAATTTGGTCTGTACAGTCTCCAATTGTGTGGATTACAAATTTCCTCACAGATATAAGTTACTTTTATCAGATCCAAGGAATGTGATGGCTATAGTTACTACTGATTATTCACTCTTTGATAATGGTCTGTAAATCCTGCAGTATATGTTTCTTTGTCCCACTGAATATACGTGACTCGTTGGTTCATGTCTTCTCCTTTTGCTAATGGACCCAGTAACTCCAACAGGTATGGTTTGCTGGGAAAAGGTGGATGCGGATACTGTCATTGAAATTTAAAAACATGATTATTATAACATTTTTGTACTGTATTTCACCATGGATTAAAAGAAATGCATTGTTACTGGTAAGGGTTTGTGTTAGTTGATTGAAGGGTACCACATATTTGTATCATAATTCTGTTAATTTGTGTAATGAAATAAAATTTATGATATTACTATATGCCACTGCATGTTTCATACAGTGTAATTACCCTGTACTGTAAAGTACATAATGTCCATTTGATACAAAAAGATTGTTCAGTGTTGAAAGGATATGTGTAATTTTGTGTGAAATGCTTGTATCTTTTTTTATCTCTGATAAGTCTTTAGAAATTGAATTTATAAAATAATAATATTGAAATGTCTGGCCAGCAGCTGCACACAGATTTTAGCAGTTTTCTTTGACTGTTACAGCCTGGAAGCCACATCACAGGGGGAGACCTATATGGGATTGTGCATGAGAACACCCTTGTGAAGCACAAATTGCTGTTGCCCCCACGTGCCAAGGGCACTGTCACTTACATTGCTTCCCCTGGCAACTACACAGTGGATGTAAGTTGTGCAGCTTGTCTAGAAGTCTGATTCGAATGCTGTTTATGATTTTGTCAGTCTTAAAGAAGCTTTTAGTAGACAACTTTTGCCTGCACTTAAAAAGTGTTTGATGAACGTGTATTTTTAAATTATTGTGTATGTACAAATAGAGTATTGGATTTGTTACTCTTGCTACTATATCTGCACATAATTTTTGTTCTGTATTTTTTATCATTAGATTATTGGGTGTTCTTCATTGAGCAAAGGATAACTTATGGGCCTGTCCATGTCTGTCTGTTGAATTTTTCCTGGTAACTAGGATTCCATGTTGACATTTGTACCCTTGGTTGCCCTGCTGGTGTCAAAACTGTGATGAGGCCTGAAGAACACCCTTGGAACTACAGTATATTCCAAAGAGTACATTCTAGTTTGTTTTTTGTATACATAACACAAGAAGCACTTGGCAGTGAAAGAATTCTCACATCATTGCAGGACATAGTATTGGAGACAGAGTTTGATGGTGAACACTCCAAATATACCATGTTGCAAGTGTGGCCTGTGCGTCAGCCCCGACCTGTGACTGAGAAGCTGCCCGCTAACTATCCTTTGCTGACTGGGCAGCGTGTGTTGGACTCGCTGTTTCCGTAAGAGAAGAATATATGTGTATATCTAAGATCTCCAAAGTTTAATTTTCTCTGTTCATATTTAGCTCATATCTCCTTTGCTTTGTCATTGATATTTCATGTTCTGCCCTCAGAATAACTTACTGCTACTGTGGTAACAATTCAAAGATTCAGCACCACTAGTACCTAAGCGTACCATATCCACTTGCCATTCTGCAAATTTCTGTTTGTAAACTCCGTATTAAAGTTGCCTTTCCAGTTGTACAAGTGGACATTTCCCAGGCGGTGTTCTCAAAAAAATTATGTATGTATTCCTCATCTCTCCCTTATTGGCCACATGCCCAGTCTGTCTAATCCTGCTGGGTTTCACAAATGTAACATTACTAGGTGATCTATACAAATTATGGAGTTCTTCATTATTTAATAGCCTAAATTACTCACTTCATCCTCTTTAGCTCTAAGTATTTTCCTGAGATTTTTTCTGGACACAGGTAATTGTGTTCTCTAAAAATTGAGAAATCATTGCTTTGGTGATAGAAGCAGCAAAATGATCCGCTTTGATGGTAAACTTCTACGAGGCTACATAGAACTGCAACCCAGAAGGTGACCATCTTTGAGAGATCATTAGATATGAGGGCATCTCTGTGGTGAAGGTGTCTGCTTTGGTCTTTAAGTTGTGATGCCATGTTGTCCCGTAGGTTGTTACCAGTGTTTCAGAAGAATGTATTACCACTTCAGCACTCTGGAGAGAGGCAATATGTTTCCAATTAAACCTATGTGGTGTAACAACCCAGGAGACCAAAACTGACCTCACAAGATCACACCCATACTAAAAAATGGAAAAAAGTTGTTTTGTATAGAATTAGGGAAGTAGGTGGGATGATAACAGTTTCTCAGCAGAATAACAGCAAGCATTTACAGAATTTATTCTTGTAGTAACTTCATCATGAACCTCATTTTGTTTATTTGTGTTTCTAGAAGGAATGTAAATTTTTAAGTCTTGAGTGATATGTTATGACTTTATTACTGACTTTTGCTTTGTGTCATGCTCATAAATTTAGTCCTCTCTGATGTTCCAGACTTCTTGCTTTTCTGGCTTATAGGAGAATTTCTGCATTATTATTTTTGGTATTTGAATGAGCCCTGTTGTGATGAGTTTTCATTATACCCGGTTTTGCTGCCATCATTTTACCTTGTATTTTTAATCTGTTGAAGGTGTGTGCAGGGTGGCACTACTGCCATTCCTGGAGCCTTTGGTTGTGGCAAGACTGTTATATCTCAATCTCTGTCCAAATATTCCAACTCAGATGTCATCATTTATGTAGGATGTGGGGAGCGAGGAAATGAAATGTCTGAGGTGAGTATCTAATGTCTTTTCATTCTTTTATGATGTTTTTGGATTTTAAGTGTAATACACAACATTTCAAGGTATGATTTGATTATTTCAACATTTTGTTTTTTAGTATTATAACATTTACAAACACTCAGGTTAAATGTCATAAGTTTAATTTCTAACTTTTATGATGATGGTTAGAAAGAAACTGAAGCATGCTGTGGCTATATATAATACACAAATAGTATATAATATAATTTGTTGTATAGATAGAAATATTATCTTTATATAAAATGCAAATTGTTTTAAGTACTTCATGTCATGTAAGTGTGAAAAAGTTAACTGTGTAACTTCTCAGTTCATATGATGCAGAAGACATCAAGCATATTAAATATTCTTAAGTTTGAGAGACACTTCTGAGATATTGTACTGTAGTGGTCAATTTTGGAGATCACAAATACCTGTTATAACAAGTATTTTTCTGAATTTTATAAATTCTCCTTCAACTGTTGTGTCATGGCTTTTGAATTCTTAGATGCTGCATAAAAATTACACAGCATGAAATATCTGGTTAGGCTCAGTTTAAATTTTACGTTGTTCCCTGATTATCTGTATGTCCAAAACTCAGTTGATCTTCTGTCTTTGTATCACTTAGCTTTATTAGGTTGAAACCTTTATGTAGCTTAAGATAATCTTGTAAACAGTATTTGTTAACATAGGTTTGGAAGTATATCTATGCCTCCATAAATAACAACAACAACAACAATAATAATAATAAAAAACTGCAGAAGACCGCCATTTTGGGAACTGCATACATCATTTGGAAGACGCTTTCATAAAATAAAATTATATAATACATGTGGCACTTGCTAAAAACAATATGTATCCCGGAAATAGCTGCTGCCATATGTACCTTAGGGACAAGGTCTGTCTCGGGTACATGGAAGTACATACCCCATAAAGTGGTGAAGAGATGGGATAATAATAATAATAATGCAGCAGTCACTAATGTCCAGTTTTGCTCAGAATTAAATTTAAGCATAAAGATTTACAGTGCATTAAAATCCACTCATCCATAGCAGCAGCAGTACATACCCATAAATAGATGAACATAATAAAAGTGGATCTTCTTTCAATCATTGTGAAATTTGCCTAGGAAGTGCATACATATTGCATGAAAGATTTTCTGAAAAATCACATGGCCATTTCAGAAAATTTGATTAAATGTTTGAGATGTGCTGAAATTTGACTTAGTGACTGCACATGGTTTGCAGATGCGCAGGTCTTGTTATGGAACTCTGCTATGATTGTAACTCTAGGCAAACCAGTGGCTCATTGGTCTGTCATATTATGCAGGTTCTGCGGGACTTCCCTGAGCTGTCGGTGGAGATAGAAGGCGTCACCGAATCTATCATGAAGCGAACAGCTCTTGTTGCAAATACATCAAACATGCCCGTTGCTGCCCGAGAGGCTTCTATCTACACAGGTATTTAGAACTGAATGTTTTGTGACAAATCATTATTGAATACTTTATTGCGTTTAAACATCTCTCTGGAAGCTTGATATCAGACTTTCCTCTTTAAAGTCTGTCCTTTTCACTTTGGTAACTAGTTTTATTTATTCTGCAATTAACAGTGTTAAATGTAAGATATAGTAGTTACCAGACATATTGCAAGCTGCACTCCCTAGTTCCCAGGCAGCACTGGATTCATGCAACTGGTTACCCAAGAAGATTTTATCATATTTTGTTGCTGCAAAAGCTTTAAGTTACATAGGATTGCTAAAATTGAATAGACATTACTCATGACTCGTTACTTGTGTATGGGAAGATTATACTAATGGGGTATCTGTCATGTTACACCTGGCAGCCAAACAGCACTTTGTATGTCTTGCTGTATTGTCATTGCATAAAATTACTATATGATTTGAAATCAAATTCATGCTTACTTTGAATATCTTGTAGGCATTACGTTGTCTGAATACTTCCGTGACATGGGCTACAATGTGTCCATGATGGCTGACTCCACATCCCGTTGGGCTGAGGCTCTGAGAGAAATTTCAGGTCGATTGGCAGAAATGCCTGCTGACAGGTGAGTTGTGTGCATGTGTGCTAGAGGCACAGTTTATTAAGCATACGTAAGTTGAAGCAGAATCCAAGTATATGTAAGTGAAGTTTTTGCAATTTGTTTATATACTTGAGCATGACTACATTACAGTTTAATCTCTCGTCTCTTACTCTTTACCAGCGTTTATTTTGCGATTTGTAAAATCCATAAAGGTTAACTTTTGTCTGATACCTTTCCTGGACAGAATTGCATGAAACGAGGAGATACTTTATTACCATAGGTTTTCACCTTTGCTTTAGAATTACTTTTATTTGATGTTTGACGAAAACTTCTAACTTGAATGCAGTTTTTCTCGCTACATTAAATTTCTCGGATATAACCACAGTGCACGATCACCATATATGTAAATAGTGACATACAAATCATATTTCATACATGATTTATGGGTATGTTTATGCTGTATCTCCAGATCAAATTTCATGTGCCTACCTCCAGTGATTCACTAGTTATGCTGTCCTGCTGCAAAATAAAATTTTCACATTGCCACTATATTTATTATGTTTTATAAAAAAATGTAACATGTCGCATAATGTAATGTTGGTGTGATCTTATATTAAATATTCTTTCCCTTATTAATCAGTACTTGTGACATCTAAGTCTGAGGGTCTGTAACTTTTCAGTGGGTACCCTGCATATTTGGGTGCGCGACTAGCATCCTTTTATGAACGCGCAGGCCGAGTGAAGTGCCTTGGTAACCCAGATCGTGAGGGATCAGTCAGTATTGTTGGAGCTGTGTCACCCCCTGGAGGAGACTTCTCTGACCCTGTGACCTCTGCTACACTTGGTATTGTGCAAGTGTTCTGGGGCCTTGACAAGAAGTTGGCACAGCGCAAACATTTTCCTTCTATCAATTGGTTAATTTCTTACAGGTAATGAGAGATTTTGTGTCTTCTAAAATTTAATTAAAACTTGTAGATACCACACACTACAGCTAGTGAGAGGTATTCATCTGTGATTGTTGATGCTATTTGTTCACTTTCTTCTTCCCATAACTAAAAAGGATATCACAAGTAACTCATCTTTGTGACCAGAGATCTGAAATGAGTGAAAAGTTTGTGTAAGTTGTCGCCATTTCCAAATTATTTCTTGTGTATTACTTAAAACAATCACAACTCATTCTGTTCTATAAAACATACATGATGGAAACAGCATTGGAATCAGTCATTAATACCACACAAATAAATGTTCTTTGCCCTTGGTAATGTTTTTTTAACAACATGCACTTTGCAGACTGTATGGTTTTTAAGCTCATCCAGATCCAAAAGAATAAAAGAGAAACTAAAAATAGTTGTGAATGGGTGAATTGTGGTATGTGTCTGTGATTACAGAACATTATTTACTCTCTTTTAATCCATTGTTCACATTGAATGATGGAGTGCACATTTCCCATCATTATTACAGCAAGTACATGCGTGCTCTGGATGACTTCTATGAGAAGAATTACGCAGAATTTGTGCCATTGAGGACCAAAGTGAAGGAGATTCTTCAGGAGGAGGAGGACTTGTCTGAAATTGTGCAGCTTGTTGGCAAGGCATCTCTTGCCGAGTCAGACAAGATCACCCTTGAGGTCGCCAGATTACTGAAGGATGACTTCCTGCAGCAGAACAGGTATAGTGTAGTCATTTATTTATGCAAAGTAAAGTACGCCATGCAGGCACTTGTGGGGAGTGGAGGTATAGCTCCTACTCTTTCTTGACCTTGGCACTAGATGGGGGTGAGTGATCAGCCGTGCTTTACCCCCGGGAAAGGACCCCGGTACCCATTGGATAGGAGGCTGGGTGGGCCCCAGAGCCGGTCTGAATGCAGAGGCTAGAGGAAAAATCCTCTGCCCTCGTTGGGGATCGAACCCCGGTCGCCCAGTCCGTAGCCAGTTACTATACTGACTGAGCTATCTTTAGCAACCACATGTTGCTATTCTGAATTCACCTTGAACCTTGTGACAGTTGTGCAGATGAACCCTTGTTTCTTCAGAGAAATGTAATTGGTTTCTTAAAGATATTAATCTGTATCATGAAAATGCAGTGCTTTGGAACTCTAGAAATTAATTAGGATTTGAGGTTTTCATGGCGGTGAGTCTGAAGATGGCTGTCTTCTGGGTTGTTGCACCATGTAGTCTGGTAGTCGCTGGATCTGCGTCCAGTCATCAGAGTGTTGCAAAGCATGTGGCTCCCTCTCAAGAGTAAAGTTGATGGGAAAATGAAAAAATTGGTTGAAAATAAGAATGTAGAGAGATAAAATAAAACATGGGGATTATTTCAAATATTTGTTGAAATTACGCTCCATAGTGTAAGCCAGGATCTGTGTACTGAAGTTTAGAGCGATAATTTGGATCTGTTTAAACAGAAAACTGCACTGTATTCCAACTGAACTGTATTCAGAGAGAAACTGTGCCAGAAATTAAACTTTTTAAATGCTTTCTAAATAGTATTTAATTTGTATATTCTATGACAAAAAAAGTATCTGAGATTTCAGTTGATTTATGTGCCTGTATCTAGAAGTTGTTTGAGAAACATCTGTTTCTAGGTACTGCAGCAAGGTATTTCTAGGATAACACTTGTCAGAAGACTATATTAACCTGTTCATTTGCACTTGCTTAATTAAGGCTCATGTATTTTATGTTAAAATCCCGTGCATTAGTAATGTATCTGTACAGAAGGTTGTGTCCACTTAACACAAGGTTTAGTGGTCTGCAGCTCTAATAAAACTGTTTCTGGTGGTACTATTTTCTTACTGTACCATATTTATTCTTATAAATCTATGTCCGTCACCCCTATTTAAAAAAGTTACTGATTTAATTCTCCTGTTTACATATAATTTTATGCAAATATTTTTCTGTATTTAATACTAATGACCCCATTTTCTTGTATACTTGCAAACATATTCTGTCAAGCTATATCATTGCAGCTTTCTTTAATTTTTGTATGTATTGTACCCTCACTATTCTCCTTTGGATTGTGCCAAATATATCCCAGTCCTATTGCATTTAATTATTCACTCAATTACTTGCCCAGCTTTCAGATTTTAAATTCTTTTAAGGGGTTAATATATAGCCTTCTGTTTCAAGTACTGTCCTAAAACTGGCCTATGTGTAAGGCAGTAGGTTTGCAACAGGGGCATAACACTTTACTATATATATGTTGCTGATACTGTGATCAGACTCGTTCCTGCAGTCTAACAACACAGGAAGAGCTATTTCAAAATAACATGAATTCTTGTGAGGTAGTTGAGTAAATGACATTTGAAAACTTTTTTAACAAAATGGCAACTTTGAGCAGTATGTTCCATAAGCATGTTGTGCTCAAATTGCAACAGTTTCATTGGTATCTGAGCACATTGCTCGCTGACAGATTAAAAGAGATGGATTGATAATAGGAACTTCCCAGCACATGTCAAGTATGTCGCTACCTTGATTTTGTTTCAGCTATTCCCCATATGACCGTTTCTGCCCATTTTACAAGACTGTAGGCATGCTGAAGAACATGATGGCTTTCTACGACATGTCTCGACATGCTGTGGAGTCAACAGCTCAGAGTGAAAACAAGATCACTTGGAGTGTGATCCGAGACAGTATGGGCCAGATACTGTACCAGCTATCCTCCATGAAATTTAAGGTATGTGTTGGTGAGACCTGAGAGTTCTGTTGATACAGGAAGGCAAATTAATGCCCATCATGCACACAATTTAGGTAGCCAAGTTTGTGATTGGTAACAGCAGCCTTTGTGTTGTATGCATAATGTATCTTAATTTTAAGTTTCCTATAATATGTCTGTTCTGCAGAGTTAAAAACAAAATCTTTTTCTCATTTTTCTTAAAAATACGCTCAAGAAAAGCTGTGTATCTCCTCGTAATTTGAGATTGTTTCAAAATTAAATGTCTAGGAACAAGGAAAGAAAGAAAGAAAGAAAATAAGTTTGTGATGAAAGTAAGGGAGGAATAAATTTGGGAACTGCTTGTTATTCAGTTCAAAAACTGTTTCCAAAGCAGTAATGAACAAGATGTGTGGAATAATTATTTACGAGATGTTTTGTGTTGTGATCCGTTGTCTTTACTTAGAAAATAAAACATTACATGAAGAATTCTGTTTTGTCAGGATTTTGAAATTGAGAAAATTGGAACAGTTGGATATGTAGCTTCAATGGAGTACAGAACTTAGTGGTGTTACATCTCTTGAAAGGAGACTACTTTGAAGACAGATGTTGAAGTGGATCTTACAGAAGTTCAATTTGAGGACATGAATTGGTTTACTTGAACCCATAGATTCTGTAACCATAGGTAATTGTGGATTGCCCATGCACCTTGCCATGTATTTTATGGCAGTATTCATGATGAAAATGACATCTTAACACAGTAATTCTTATATTCTTTTTGCAGTCTTGCTAATATTTCATAAAAAAATTTCAAACTTGTAACATTATCACAATTCCAGTATTGCACTCAACAGAGTGAAGGTGATGATGTAACATGTCTTTAGGCCCCAATTAAAGAAATATTTGGTAAGGAAATTATACCTTAGAACAATCCAGGATGCAAACTAAATCATCACTAAATTTATTTTCATTTTGTATATGATATATTTTTTTGTTGACAACAGGATCCAGTGAAAGATGGAGAAACAAAGATTAAGGCAGACTTTGAACAACTTCATGAAGACATCCAGCAGGCATTCCGCAACCTTGAGGATTAAGTGAGATCTGGCGGCAGTGTCTTTCCATTCCTTGTAATGTGCATTTACTCTACGATACTTATCAGCTTGTAGACCATGTACCGTAGTCCACATCGTAGTATAAAGCGTATTCAGTGTACATTTCCATGTCAGAACTTGTGCAAATGGGTGGAGGTTTTGTCAGTTTGTTATTATCATGTTGCATTCCACATAGGAGATTTGTTTGAGTTAGTTGTGGTGCCGGTCACATCACAGTATTATGTGTACAAATGTCATCAGTCTTGTGTAAAGTAATGTACAGATGTAAGTAAAATAAAATATATGTAACTTCATATGATGGGATTCACCTTGTTAAAGACTTCTCTTTTCTTGGTTTAGAAACTTACAGTACGTGAGACTCGTTTAACAAGGCAGCACACTTGAATATGAAGACTTATCATCTTTGAACGTTCCAAATGGTGTTATGGAACACCAAATATTTTGCTGACTTTGAATTTGTTAGATTTTGTCCATAAAAATTGCTGCATATTCTGTCTGTTGAAACTTGTCTGTATGCATTTCTCGCTTCATGTATCTCAACTTACGAATGTCAAAAAAATTAATTTTTCTTTATCTATACTTTCTGCAGCAGTGAGAAGTGAGAATCATAAACTAAGGCAATGTCCTATGTAAGCGATAATAAGCGAGCTATCCGAGCTGCATAAGCAGCATGGGATGTCATATGAAGCGGGGATTCGCTTGTTGTGTCCTACGTGAGAGACCACAGTAGAAACACATGGCCTTCATGCCCATGCACCTTCCCTGTACTGCATGGTCAGAGCTTTCTTGCGCATGCGCCTTACTGGCCAGCGCAGCGACTCGCGCAAAAATATCAAAATATTTGATCTCGGACTTTGGCCGCTTCGCTGGAACCTAGGACAGCGCCACACAAACAGCCAGTTTGATATTTCCGCTTCACCCACGCAACTCGCACCTCTTGCATTTAATCGCTCACGTAGGACAGCGGGTAAGTGCTAACACTTTCCTGTTCTTCCCATGGTAAATCTTTAATTGTGTTACGAAGAGTATAAGCAGTGCAGGTTTAAAATAATTTTTATCATGAAGTGTTTGGCTCTACTGCACTCTTGGTCTGTAATACAGGATGGATGGGAAGTAAGTAGGCATTAAATAATCGCTTTGCATTGGAAATATAGGGGTTATAACCATTTCTCAATGCCTACTTCCCACCCAACCTGTAGTTTCAGACTGGTGCCTCCAGCTGATTCTGACCATCTCTCATTTCTGTAATTTGAAGTAGATTTACTCCAAGACCAGTAAAGTGTAGGGCCTATGATGAAGTCCGTAACGTAGGATCAAGCGCTATGATAACACGATGCTTGTTCATGGCTGTCACACACATCATTTGATGGTGATACATCAATGTGGAGTTATAGAGTAGCGGCGGAAGGACCTGCTCAGTGCCACCGCAGCGTTCAGTAATCAACAACGGAAGTTATGGGATTGAACATGGGTCTGCATGGTAAGAAGCCAGAATCTAGTGCCTTAGCTATGGCAGGGCCTCCAACCTTTGTTTCAGATTTACAGATTTTTACGACTTCACTGTCCTCTTTTCTGCTCTTTTCCCGATGTCAGACTCGTTCATCTATCATTTATCTTCCTTTTACAGCCGTTATATCATTGACCTCAGAGAGTGAAATACAACATTAACAAACTTTTCTTCGCCACAGTTGTTGGACTCTGCTAAAAAACATTTTACCAAGCTATTGGTTTTATTAAAATATTTCATAAAAATAAATACACTTATTAACCAAAATATCAATATTTAATGCACAGTGTAGTGCATATTCACTCCTGTTTGTATTTGGAAGGTCCCAGATTCAAATCAGACCATCTGACAGACTTATTCATGGTTTTCTTCAGGCAGCTTCTGGAAACTGTGAAACAGTTGTGTCCTTATGCATTCCTTTCATTCTACTCTGATCACATCAGCTGGTACCTACTCGTGTTGCTGGTGACGGAGATTTTTGCCATTTATCGGGTAACTAATGAATACATGAAATAAGCAGTTTTGCGTAGCTGGCGAGTGGGGATGAGCGACTCTTCACTGCGACTTCGCGTGTTAAATGTTTACAAAGGCCTTGGAATGTGATGGATTGTTTCGAATGATCTAGGCTAACGTTTCTCGACCTATGGTACACGTACCACTGGTGGTATGCGAACTGAGTGAGAAAATCAAAAGATGATATTAACATAAATAAGTTTTCCCTGAACGCGTTTGGTTAGTGGTACATTTAATGTGTTAAATTAGAACTAGTGGTACGCCAGCAAAAAAGGGTGAGAACCCCTGATTGAGGCAATTTTTGAAGCACTTGGAAATTTCTCTTTTTTGCCTGTCACCTTCTGCATTTTATATGGGTTGATGGGGGAAAAAAGAGTTTCTGGTTTCTTCTGTCTTTCCACAGTCTGTCCTCAGTTTCTTGCCAGCTCTTTCAGAGTGTCATTGGTTGCAGAAGTAATGAGGTTTCTGATAGGCATGAAAGGAGACTCTGTATTTTACCATAGAAAATGTAACAAGGACCACAGCTTCAGGTTTTTCTCTTTTGTGAAGAGCTGTTTTGAAAGAGCACTTAAGAAGGTACGTTATCTGTGATTAAAAAGTAGGTTTTCTTAATGATAGGATGTCTTCATATCTTTCAGGGTCACTGGAGCAATTTTATTTTTGTATGCCTTGAGCAAAAATTAAAATGGTGTGGTAAAAGATAAATTTTATGATGAGTACGAACGTGCATATTGCGGTTAAACAGGATTTAGGAGCACAATTTGAATCTGGTGCATCTAAAAGAAAAAGAAAAGTTGAGTTAGAATTGAAGATTCTAGAATTAAGTGGGTCACTTCTAAATTTTTTAAAAGGAATTATGTTGCTACTGTAAGTTTCAAAGATTTAAGTGGAAATTAAAGTGAAAGATTTGCATTAATCAGGTGAGGTAATTCTGAAATCTTTAAAATTTTAATACATAAAATCACATATTATTCTTAAGGGACCTGACTGATCCATATTGCCACGGGCATGTGATTGGCTCCAATGTCACTGGACCTGCTGTAACTTTTCTAACCGGAAAACTTTAATTTTACAGCAGGGTTTTCAATTCAACAGCATGTGTGGCACATGTACATAAAACAGCAAATGAGATCAGAACAACGATATTTTTTAAATCCTTCAGATTAAGAAAAGCTTGTATCAACTGATGACAAGTTAACAGGTAACTCTGATGGCCTGGTTACAGTTTGTCTTGGGGCTGGTTTCGTCCGCGGGCCACCACTTCAACCACGCGAAACGTTTTTTCTAAACCATGTTCAAACGAGAAACAATAAGATTAAAAACTTTTGGTTATTTATACGTATATATGAAGAAAAAAATATTTGTATTTAGATTTGACACAATGTGGTTGAAACATCGCTGATTCAAGTTTATCGTCACGGTGTGTAACACCCAAGAGGAAACGAGACAATTGTTTACTTTTAGCAGTATGGGAGAAGGAAATGTTGATGTAGGCCTAGTGTGTCCAAAAAATATTGAACTGATCTACACTGTAAAATCGTGACATTACATTTCGATGGACACGTATATAAATTCTGCCATTGAAAGCGCAATCTTGGCGCAAGTGCAGTGAACTCCATGTCGTAATTAATTGAATTCAGGACGATAAACGTCAACGGGCAAACAAAGAAATGAATAAATAAGTAAATTTTAAGTAAGCTTATGTACACCAAATGGTAATCAACTCTTTTGCAGTAAACGCATATTGCCGACAATGTCGAGACCTTGGTTTCCATGTTGAAAGCCAGCGTAATTCATTTGTGTAGCGTGTTAGCGCGTTCAGACGTCAGTTTGTACGCGCCATTATCAGCCGGTGACATTGACGTACACAGCATACGAAGTGAACTTCTTACAAATGCGACCAGAAAGTGCTGAGACAAGATTTAGTGTTGAAAATTAATATTTTCTGTGCAGAACTAGTACAAAAATACTTGTAATGAATTATTATCGAGATTGTAAGAGTTAAAGAATATAAGTACGAAGGACTATGGCTGGTGAAACAAACCACTTGTACTGTTCTCTGATGTCCTGTGCTGCAAAACAAAATGGAAGTGTGATGAATAAATGGATCAAATGCCTTCTTGAGAAGAATTGTACGGCACCCGGTTTTCGGGCCGATATTAAAACCCACTACTTCCAGACCATGAACTATTCGACCGCTATGTTGGGCCCCAGAAGTGAAGGCTCGATACGATACTTGCATATTCTTCTGCATTTTAATCGTATCAGCTGTCGCTATTTTACAGTATAAGTAACAAGTTAGGAAATGTAAGCCAACGCATAGCATAACAATTCTAACGAGTTCGCGCTATTTGGCTTCAGAGTTTCAGTCCGTCAATGCTGACTTTTGGTAGAGGGTACTTGTTCCGTCAAGACATGAGCTTTGATCTTTGCGATTGGTGTCAGGACGTCAAAGT